AAGTGGGAGAACTTGCACAATTGGTGGCTGACTAAATACTTTTTTGCCCCACTGTATACCGTGACAGCTGGCCCAGGTTAAATATTCCTCCTCCCCCTCTTGAGAGATGCAAATTGCATCTTGAACTATAATGTAAGTCTATATTCAACATGATATTACTTCTCCCACATGCTGGTTGTAATAAAAAATGGAGAGAGAGTTGCATATTTAATAATTCAGATTCTAATATCAGAATCAGTATCAGAATACAGTATTATAATGAGTTGACAGTGACTTTATGTGCCAAAACTGATATTTGTACTTGAGTGAACATCTCTGTTACTAGACACCCATCATCTAGGAAAGTGGATGATGAAATTCTTAAAAATGTTGTTTTTTTTCTTAAACACTTGGCCCTCAGAATATGCTCTTAGGGGTAGGAGAAAGTAGGAAATCCTTATTGTATTGCTTATCAAGAATGTAGTATATGAAGTTTAAACAATATATTAGAAAAAAATTGAATACCCATTGTTAATATTTGCTGTGTTCCTTAATATACTAGGTGAGAAATTCATCTACGCTTCTGTTTAGCACCCTCATTACAAGAATATTTGGAGTTAAGAGAGGAAAGGATGAGAGCTCAAAAAAAAACAGGTATGTTCATTTCAGTAAGAAATATTTCTGTAAAATATATAATAGCCAAGAATAGACTTAGAAACTTTGAGTGCATATAAATTAATATATGAAACATAATATTACCAAAGGATTTGGGGATTTCTTTCAAAAAATGATCCCAGGAATTAACATGCATTCAGGTGCGTTGCATTTTTATACTCTTTAATTATACAAAGAACAGATATAGTAAGAAATAGTAAAATGAAAAAATTAAGAGATAAGAAAAAGATATACCTCCCATACTTTTCTATCTTTGCAATTCTATCCTTGCTTCTCTCACATTCATATGCTACCTCATACATTAGCTTTTATATTTTAAACTTTCACTTCTCTCTTTCTGAGAATCTTACCAGCTCCATCCAGTCACAACTTTCTTGGTCTTCCCCCACCTCTGGATCCATTCTTTGATCATTTGTATATTTGTTTTGCAATTTGATATTCATATATTCTATTTATATGATCAAACCAACATAATTTTTCATATGAGTGTGAGGAAAATATATCTTTGGGTGACTCTTTGGGTGAAAGAAGCAAGTTTTTAGAGGCCTCAGATGAATGGGATTGCCTTAATAAAATTGAAACATAAAGGAATGTGCAGCATCCTTGAAGCTTGGTGTGAACTAGGCTGA